CCCATTCTGATCCTTTCCCCCCCTTCCAATACCCCCCTCAGTTCCTCTTGCCTCAGACCAGATGTCCACAACATGGACACCTCCGTCTGAGGTACCTCACTAGTGCTAATTAGTGAGCCACTAATGCTCACATGTGGAGATTAAGGACAGAATACCCACAGATACCCACATCTGGGACAACTGAAACTGTCCCTGCTGTGCATAATGAGGGTAGCCTATAAAGGGATTTAGCCGAACAAATGAAGTCATGTGCCACAGGAGCATGACTAAGCTTATTTCTTTCCCTTCTGCTTCATCACCTGTATTTTCTAGATCTTCCTTGACTGCAGTGGCTGTTGTGTCATGGACATTCCTGCGTGTCCTCAGCTGTTATCAGCAAGCTTGTCCCAGCTTTTGTGTCTCCTTGCAGGACTTTATTGGATACAGCTAGTGATGGAGATAAAATGAGGGATTCCTTTGCAAACTGTATCCTTAAGTGTCCAGAAGTGAATGAGCCTACAACTCACGTGCAGTACACCATGGAAAAGATTCTCTCATTTTGGTCACTTGAGCTATTATAGGATAACATCATTAACTGTTGCGTGGTCTTGATCAGGCTGCTTACCAACTGCTTGATCAAGGAGAGCAGGCAGAAGTCTTTTGTCAGCAATCTGAGGTGTTTGCAGATCAATGAGCAGCTGCCTATGGGAGCTTCAATTGCCCTGGCATTCTCTGGCCGAGCAGAACAACAGGCCACTGAGTTCAGCCAACTTCTTCACACAGCTGTTGGGGGGACAACACAGGTGATGCTCAGCTGGGTCTCATACTGGCCAACAGGGAGCTGGTCAGGGCTGTGATAGTCAGGGTCAGCTTTGGCTGCTTTCACCTGACATAGACCTGATGATACTTGAAGAGGAGTGTGAAGGCTCCAGCTGATAGAGTTTCCTTACAAGTAAAAGAGTAGACAGGGATGGTGCAGGTCTACTGTTGTGTTAATAAGCATAGGAGCAGAGAGGGCTGATGTACCTCACGGTTTCTTTGCCTCTGTCTTCACCAGCAATGCTTCCCTGGCTTTCATGCCTGAAGGTAGGATTCCAGAGCACAACTACCAAATGGCAGGAGAACTCCTCAATAGCAGCCCTGCCAAGAAGGTCTTGGGCTTCCTTGGTAGACAAAACGCTTTACCTGTGTCAGCAGTGTGTGCTTGTAGCCCAGAAAGCCAACAGTATTCTGGACTGCAACAAAAGAGCGGTGGGCAGCAGGGCAAGGAAGGCGATCGTCCTCTACTCTGCCTTCATGAGGCCCCATCTAAAGTATTGTGAATCCTCTTGTGTCCTGGCCCATCTCATGGCTTGGAAGATCATGATGATCTTACTTCTGTCTCATCAGCTGATGGCAGGTCACAAGAAAGCTGGCAGGTTGGGTAGTGATTGCTTGCTGAGATAATGGATCTTTTCTGAATGAGGCATCTGGAGGGAGAAATACTGCCACAGAGTTCAACTTGGAAGATGAAGAATAGGTATGAGCAAGAGGAAATGTCACTTAAAGGGCAGTGCTGTGAGGCCAGTGATCCACCGAGGTAGATCCTGGGAAGAAGGTCCCACAACACCTACTGTCACACCAGTCCTTTGTGCTGCATTCCACGTAATTCCATGTAACTGCATTCTACCCTGATTTTATATCCATTTTCTTTCAGAGAAAGCCAGCACAACATTCCCCTATAGATCAGTACTTTTAAATAAAGGAAAACAATCTTTCTTTCTCTATTTCTTTGAACTTCTTTTTTTTTTTTTGGAGGAGCGCCGTGCGCCCGCGGCCGGGGCAATTTTCTAAAAACAAATCTGTAATACCCTGTAATACCCTACAAATCTGAGCCCTGCAGAGTTATAAAAGTACAATATTCTGTATTTCATGGAACACAGTGCACCAGAACACTTCCTGCCCAGGGTCTGCATTCTTAGATCATAAAATCAAACAACTATAGACTTCTTATTGGCCACTTCAGTAATGTGAACTAGTGGAAGGTGTCCATGCCCATGGTATGAGGTTTGGAGCTGTTCTTTAATGTCCCTTCCAATCCAAATCTGCGATTCTATTAATTTGCATCATAGGAATTAGAAAAAACTCACCACTTGTGTGCAGGAAAGGGTGGGACAAGGACGGTCACTGCCTGATGGGACACAGAGCAGTGTGAGAAGAGAGCAGAGGCAGTGCTATGAGGGACAGCAGCAACTCGCATGGCATCAGGAGACAGACAGGTAGGAAATGCACAAAGGGCACTGAGAGCTGTAAGGGAGCACTGCGACCTGGCAGGCAGTCAGGGCTCACAAAGGCAACAGTGCTCAGGGAACCCACTGTGATGCCATCTCAGGTCCAGATGACCAGGGAATGAAGGGATGAATGGTGTCTGAACTACCAAGTGAGAGTATGGGTATAGCAAAAGAGGGGAAAGTGTTTCAAAGTAGAAATACAGTATGTGAGAGCTGATAATGGGAAATAACTGCAGCAGAAAGAGGGAGGACTGAGGTGAACAAAGGTCAGTGGAAAAGATGTGGAGCTGAATGCAAGGGTCCAGCTGTGTGTGGACAGGGATCTGGTCAGTGCTGGACTGAGCAGACGCTGCCTGGTCACTGTGCTCTCTCCTGTTCTCATTAAACCCTCCTCCTGGGTATTCGCTGTGTGAATGCACTCGCAATTGTGTGTGTTTGGGGTGAATGTGCTAGCCAAGCTCAGGTGGGACTGAACTTCCCCACAGGAAGGAGATTGTTTGGGATTGTACATACTTGAGGCATTTTGGTATAAGCATCAATTAAAAAACGGGGATTGGTGTTTTCCTTGCTACTTCTTGACTACTGAAAGGAGGTTGCTAAAAGCCCTCTGTTTTACCAAAACTATTTTATTTTTCTCCTAATGTAAGTTTTTGTGAATTAAATTGGGTTGGCCTTGGGAAAGAAGGTCCCAAGGTGTCAGAGTTCAGCACTTAACCCATGGAGTTAGGCAGTTGTGCTTGAGAAACAGCTGTATTTTTTGAGTGAGTGGTCATTTATAGAAGCAGAAAAACCATCTCTGATGCTAAATTAAAGATGAGGTTTAACACTCGGTGCCATTATAGGTAAAAATACTCAGACTCCATTTACCAGGAAGAAAATCCAGTGAACGTGGATAAGGAGCAGTCATTGCAGGTTTCTAGGCACTGCTTTACCACAAAAGTGAGCGTTTAAATCCAGTTGGAATCTATTGGGTAACTTCTTTGGCATGTCCACTACTAATATTATATTTCAGGATAGAAAGAAAAGGTAAAACATTAATGAACAAAAAATGTTCAGTTTCAAGAAGATGTTGTTTTGCATGATGTGGGGCTTAGCAAGGATGGCAGAATTCAGGAGATTATTCTTTAAATGACCCTCCCTGTATTTCAGCACTTGCATTGCTAGCTCCAGCTTACAATATCCAGGCATTAACATGGAGCTCCCTCGGTGCTGTCAGTTCCTGTAGCCAGTTTTAAACATCCCTAAGCTGGTTATTTCAGAACTGAAAATATAGCACTCATTTTTCTGTCAAGGCCAATGTCTGCCCTTGCCAAGTCTGGAATTGTAAATCAAAGTTATTTCTGAAGCAGTGCAGCAGCTATGAGAGAGAGGAGGAGGAAAACCATGAAAGAAAGAATACTGCAGACACCAATGTCAGTGAAGAAGTAGAGGAAGAAGGTGCTCCAGGTGTCAGAGCAGAGCTGCTCCTGCAAGCTGTAAAGAACACCATGGTTGCCCCTGGCAGCCCCTAAAGAACCACATCCAAACAGATTCCTGCACTGTGACCTGTTTGAAGGACAGAATTGAGAAACAAGGGGCCATCAGAAGCCATCAAGGGATGAAAGGGGGAAAAAGGTATTATCTGTTACATATGAATTAAGGCAGAACGTAAATAAATGGAACAGGGAGCAGAAACAACAGCAAAGTGTTTTTTTTTTTTTTTTTTTAATAACCTACAGAAATTGATTTTGCTTGGATTTGTGTCAGGCACTCGGGCCGCACTGTCCTCTTCCTCCTCCTCTGTCTCCGACGCCTCCCCCGGAACCCTCAGCCCCGCTGCGGGGGTCCCGGCAGCGCTCCCCCCTGGCTCCGGCTCTGAGTCGCTCTCTGAGGCCTCGCCCGGCACCAGCGTGGGGGAAAGAGGGGCGGCGGAGGTGGAACTCGGGGGAAGAACGGCCCCAACAGGCACGGAGACCGCCGGCCCCTTCTCCCGAGTCCCAGGGGAATACCCCGCAAAACAGGCCCGTGACTCTCCGGCCCCGTGCCTTCCCAGCCCCACGGGGCACCCAGAACACGTCCTGCACCCGCAGCTGCAGCAGGACGCCTCGGATTCCCTACTCAGCCCCACGTGACCCCCGCGCTCCGGGGTCACGTGACGCTCACCCCGGCCGCTGCGCGTCGCGTGGGATGACGTCACGCCTCCGTGCGCCCGTTACCCGGACTCGCCCTCGCTCGGACCGCTCACGCGCAGAGCGGACACCTCGCGTGGCCTTGCTCGTCCAATCGCCCCTCCGCCCAAGCTTTAAGTGACAGCCAGGGCAGCCAATTGGCTCCGCAGAGACGAAGGGGCGGATGAGGCTCTCCCGGAAGACGTAGCGGGGGCGGCCGTGCTCATAACAGGCGGCGACGGCAGCCAACGAAATGACCGAACGGGCAGGGCTGACCAATAGGAGAGGCGGCGGGCGGGGCGTGCAGGAGGCCGTGCGGGACCGCAGCCCGCGCCTAGTGCGCGGTTGTCCGGTACGGCTGTGCGGGCCGGTGCGGAAGGGTGAGAAGGGCCCCGTAGTAAAAACGTGAGGAAAAGGCTTCACAGGGATTAAGGATTGGGTGGGTGGGGGGGAGAGTTAAAGTTTGTAGAAACAAGACTGTTAGAAAAATAAGGGATGGCAGACACTGGGTCTGGGATAACGAGGGGATGAAAGCCGTAAAGAGAAGGGTTTGAGAACAGCCTGAGGATGCTTGGCAGCAAGACGATTCGATGTCCGCCGGGCGAGCTGAAATGGGGCTGGGGGGGGGCTGCCCCTCCCACAGGGTCAAAAGTTAACAGGGAGAAAGACTGCGAGCCTTCGCGAGGAAGATGAGGATTCTTCATCCCACGACCGCCAGGATACCCTCACCATTCACTGTGCACTTGCGAGGGGGAAGCACATGCTGATGGGTTTTTGGAATGTAATGAACGCGTATCCGAATTCCTGGAAACTACTGATCACGTATTATTTCGGCCTCTATCTGTAGCACACTTTTTCCTGATGCTGTGTGAAGTAGGAGCAGCTCTCCCCCTTGCACCCAGCATTGCAGCCCTGATTAAACGTACCTGCTTTTATAACTGCTTTGTGGTCATAGTCTGATTCTACACGTCAGCGTGCACCCCTCCTCGGGGCAGCGTGTGCCACGGCCCTCCTCAGGAAACATTTCTTCCTCCTATGCAAACCACCGAGCGCCTTGGCCGGCACTCTCAAAATAAACATGCAGAGCTGACAGACTTATTGTGGGCTGGGAGACAAATCTTCTGTGTGTGTGTGGGGGGGGGGGGGGGGGGGGGGGGGGGGGGCCTTGGGGGGGGCTCCCGGGGGCGGGGGGGGCCACAGATGTCACTGAGATATGAAATGTCTCTGCAGAGCTGGAATTCAGGAGCTGAGGAGATACGAAGGGTTCCCACTGTGCTCCTGAGTGCCCCTTCTCTCCTGGCTGCACGCTGAGGGCATGTGGAGGCAGGAACAAAGGACAGGAGCAAGGGCAGAGAACTTCCTTGCTTTTTCAATCTTCCTAGAAAAAAAAAATATCTAAAATCTTTCACATGTGCACAGGATCTGTTGAGTCCCAGCCTGAACCACTGGTTGAGCACCTGCGGAAAGGACCTGCTCAGCCCTGGGAGCACAGGTGAAGGCAATTCAGGAAGGGCTGGAGCCCCCATTTCAGGGCTGACTGCCACAGGAGAAGGATCTCTTTCTGGAGATCCCTCCTTGGTAGAAAATTCCCCTGCAAACCTGGAATCTTCTAATGGAACTGCCATTACCCAATCAGAGCATTAACCAAAGTCACTACTCATAGCAATTAATAAGCTCTTTGGAGAACATAAACAAAAAGCCAGAAATCCCCACGATCTTCTACTTCTCACCATCCAGGAAGTACAGCAGGCATCCCTTCATCCTCACCACCATGGAAGTGGCAGCAGTTCCAGCTGTGCCTGTCTCCAGTTCTGCCCCTTTCAAGTCCCTCTCCTGCCTCTGACGTAGCCCTGACCAGGCTCTGCTGTGCCCCGATTCCCTGTTTAGCCCATCCCTGTTCCCGTCCTGTCCCTGATTCTCCACATTTCCTTGCCCATGTTCTGGTCCTGTCCCTATCCCTACCCTACCACTACCTCCACACCTATCCTCACCCTTTTCTTTATCCTGTCACTGTCCCTGCCCCTCTCCTTTCCCCTTACTGCCCATCTCCTGCCCCTGTCCGTATCACTTGCCCTGCCCCTACCCTAGACTTTTCCCTATCCTGCCCCTGTCTCTGCCTGTCCCTCTTCTGTCTCCTTCTCTCCCCTGTCCCTACTCCAGGCCGCTGACAGAATCTCCTGGCAGCCCTCCAGGGGAAAGAAGGAGATGGCAGGGGAGAATGGACAAGAGGAAAGAGCAGAAAGGCAGTGAAAATAGGATTTCTTGAAAATAATTAATACAGCTTTCTTAAGAGACCAGATTTCTCATGATAAGACTGATGGTTTTCCACTTCCTGAATTATAGAGGACACATAAACACAGAGGGTTAAATAAACCCTAGCAAGAAGGTGCCAAATTCTAAAGCAAAAGACCCGGGAACAATTCCACCTACTGCACTCAATGGGACGTCTTACCTATTTGCAGAGCGCCCGATGCAAGTGGGTTGGCTGTTTTGGGGGAGAACGATTGGGAACGATATTCCAATTTGTATCCTTGGAAGGAGATATTTTGGAAAACCTGGTCCTCACAAACTGCAGAGCCTCAAACGACCCCGGAGCAGAGGCCTCCTTAGTATATGGGAACCCCAAGAAATCTGAAGGACAATCAGTAATAGGGTTGGGAGGGAAACAAATGCAACCTGTGAAAACACAAATACAAATGAAAACAGGAAACCTCCTGAAGTGATTGTATCCTGTCATGATTGTCCTTGTCCCAGAAAACATCACAGGGATAGGTATTCCAAAAGGACTCACCTTGAATCTTCCCAGCGGTCAGCACCAATTTGGAATAAAGAATTGCATTAGTGCTCTGACAATTTTAGTGGGAAAAGTAAAAATGCCTGCTGCGCAGATTCCTCCTGCAACTGAAGTAGTGACAATGAAACAATATAGCACCCTGGGGGTTGGCATGAAGAGATATCAAGGACAATTAATGATTTATTGGATGCAGGAGTTTTAAGTCAACTACTGCAGCTTGGAACAATCCAATATGGCCTGTCAAAAAGTGATGGGTCGTGGAGGGAATTAAATAAGCACACCCCACCTCTCACAGCGGCTGTAGCAGGTAACCATTGCTTTAAGAGAAGAGGTTCAGTAGCATTCCAGAAGCGGGTATGCTGTAATTGATGTAGCTAGTGCATTTTCCACCATCCCAATTGCAGAGGAACATGGCAGGGGTGACAAGATACTTTCTGTAGATTGCCTTAGGGCAATCTACAAACTGCACAGTCCAACCATTTGCCACAGAACAGTGGCTGAACATCTGCATGATTATAAACTGCCTCCTCACATGCAAATAGTCCATTATACAGATTATATGTCGTATCTTTGTGCACATAGGATCCCTGAGACACAAACTCCTGAACACATCTGGGACTAGGAGTGGATCCAGCTGTGCTGAGGAACCTTACCTCTGCGGTTTGAAGAGTTCACACAGCCATGGGGTTGGGTCTGATCCTCATGACACAGCAGGAGAGAGTCCTGTAGGTGTGTGTGTAACCCTGTCCTCTATGTGGAAAATAACCAAGTGAATCCAGCCATCTCCAGTCTTGTTAAGGCACTGTTATATCTACTACAGCATATCTATGCTCATCAATAAATACGTTCCTGCTTCCCCCTTAGGAGTGTATATTGTAGCTGTATCTATCTGTTATAAAGAATTGTTTACAGCTAATGATGTTTATAGCTAATGGTGGTGACCATGTTGAAAAACAGTTTTGTAGCTGAGAATTCACTCTATGTATCTGTTGTCATTTCTATGGAAATAAATAGGAGGCATTCCTTTCAGAGCAATTTGCGTACATCAATGAGCCATCATCCTAATAATACAGTAATACTAATGATTGGAACAGAAAAAAAAAGATTCTGAGAATATCTTGTGTGGGGATGGAACAACAAAACCATCACTGTAGTCAGCTGCAGTTATTCCCCTGGGAATGAACTGATGCCAGTAGAAAGGTCACGACCACTTCCGACACAAACTATACCAGCATTTCAGAGCACACAGCCTTGGAATAAACCCCAAGGATAAATCAAACTGCATCTCTGTTCCAGCAATTTTTTTCTTCAATATACGTGAATTGACTGGGAGGTACTAATCCTGCACATTCATTGTACCATTGTGTCTTATGGTAAGAAGAAAAGCAGGATGTTTAAGACTTTGTCAGGCACAGAACCTCCAGCACCAAAGGTGAGCAATTCTGAATTCTCGGTACCTTGTCATAATTTGTGTGCATGCACAAGAAACAGTGCAACTCACTTTACAAGAGCAACTAAATGCATTCAAGGCATACTTACAAAAGACTCTGAGGTAGAAAGCTGCTCGCTGAGGCAAAGATCAGAAATGAGGCAGGGGAAGCCTGACAGATTGAGAGTGATTAAGTGTCTGAATAAAGAAAGGAACAGAAGGAATAGACATTACTAGAATCTACCAGACGCCAATATTCTTTTGAAACACATACTGTACATGAAGAATAAAAAGCAACACAGGATCAACCCGCAACTATTTATTCCACTGTCCCAGTAATGACTGCTATTATATAAACTCTATGTATTTTTAATACTGCTGTTTAAAAAAAAAAAAAAAACAAACACAAATTCCTCCTCCAGTACACAATCAAATTAAAGTTAATTTATGATACAACTACATACAAAGTTTAGGTAGAAAAAAAGACTTCTGGTGGTCTCGGTAACACAGCTACATAAGCACTGTACAGGATATTCACAGATACGGCATAAATCAAAGCTGGCTCTTTGTAACAGAACATTTCCTTTGTTTATTCCATTTTTGTTGATGTACATTACCATAGCTTTGATTATGACAATAAGGTTTTCTGGGCCATCTGTCAGAGCTGCAGAGCTTCCACCTCCTTCTAAGTGTCCGTCCACTCACAAGTACAACCAGCCTGGCTGAGTAAACTATGCTGCATGTGCTGAGATGCAATTATTTTCTTCCAATTTCTGTTCTGTTTCATCTTAGTAAAATATCTGTGATTTCTAGTCCAAGCAAATTAATTTCACATACAAAAATTATTTCCAACGTAAAGTAACCACATTTCCAAAACAAATTCTACCCATAGAAGATGATTACAGAATTATACTAAGCACATCTTAAAACATCAGTTCTGTGGCAGACAGAGTAAAGAGACCAGCAAAAGAAAGTACAGAAGGGCTTCTCCCTACGGAATAACTGACTATAGGAGGTAGAGCTGTTTGTCGGGGTTTCTTAGTGTGAGCGAGCAGAAAAGAGGAATGTGACCTCAGGAAAGTCTGAAGTAACATGGAAATGGGAAGAGCTGCCCAGGTGTTCTGAACTGTTCAGATGACATGACAGTCATTTTCTTGAACAGTGTTACATATGCAGTAATGAGCAGAAGAATGAAAATTAAGGCATTTGCCTTCATCTTAATGGCACTGTATGTGCCGCCTCTCTGCAGAACTGTGGCACAGACAGCACAAGACTACTAAGAACTTGCACAGTAATTGCCAAGCCACGTTTTCAGAAGCCAGCATGACAAAGTATTTCCCTTTTCCCACACACAAAGAAATGCTGACTTAGACAACAATCTCAAGTGGGATAAGAATACGGAGGTACTTCATTCTATTTTCTCAAACTGAAAGATATCAAATGTCTACTTAAGGATAAAATAAAATGAGCAAAAAAGAACATGGAAAGCACACTAACCTCAGCAGGTACTTCAGATCAAAGTACTCTAATAGCAATAACAATAGCAGGCAGTAGCTTATTTCTGCACATGCCTAGTGGTCAAATTTGCTTGCTCTTAGATCTTTCTGCTTCCTATTGAATTACCTTAAAGAAAAAGAAGGCTTATTTATCACACTTTCCACAGAACTGCTTTCATGCTTTACAAAAAATAACACAGCTAGAGAAAAAAGACTCAGTAAAGCTCTCTGACAATACAGGGATGCATACTTCCTACCTCTCACCCAAACAGGCGCAGCACCCACCCTGAGGCTCTTGTGCCCTCACTGGCACACACTGACCAAAGGGGAATCCTTCATAGCAATCAGCTGCTGAGTTACACAAAGTCATTCTGGGAAAATCGGTTTGTTGTTCATATGCATAGCATTACACCAAGTTAGTACAACCATCTACACCTCGTTTTCTCCACCACACAGTGGAGAAACAGCTTCCTGGCTAAAAATAAAAATATCTTCCAATGCAAAAACAATGTTCCCAGATAAAACATGGGAAAACAATCCAACAAGCAACCTTCCCCCTCACCCAACCATCCTTCCCCCCACAAAACAGACAGAACAAACCCACAGGAAAGGAAAAGACAGCAAATCCACTTCCTGAACCAATTCCCAGTGTTGAGAACTTTAATAAAGAAAAACCAATACATTCTCTGCCTGTACCACCACAAAAAACTGAACATTAAATGAAAAGAGCAACTGACGGTTACAGCCTCCAGCTGTACCTCCTAACCAACGCAGCTGTTAGAAAAAGTTATAAGAAAGTCTGTTTGCTAGTCTGTTTTTTAGGCTGGATAGATACCCCAGACAACAAAACCCTCATACCTATTATTTGTAACTGGAGACACACAACCTGAGAGAGACCCTAAGAAACATACAGCTAGATTAACTTTATGATGTTCTTTTCCTCCTGTGTTTTTCGTGCTAGTTCTCAAGAACATCCCCCTTTTGAATAGATCTTCAGAATCTGAATGATACCTGAACTCAGCTGCATAGGCCAAGGTGAAAACGTAACTCAAAAATGCCATACAACTTACACAACATTTTTCTCACAGAAGTTAAGGACAGCTGTCCTGACACCTCAGCATTTCTGAGTTCAGGCTGACAGAGGAGTGAGCTGCAGTTTCTCTCTTGTCCTGACACAGCAGATGGATGTGCTGTGCAGTACCTTAGGCAGTCCTTACGCACGCAGCTTTAAAAGCTATCAGTAGTGCACAACACTTATGAGCTCACGTTTCCGTTCACGCAGGTTTGCTTTAGGATCCGAGCTCAACATCCTGCACTGCTGCATTGCTGAAGGTTCTGCCATCTCCACAGCCCGCAGTTCCTGCTGAGTTACTCAGGCGTTTGGCACTGGTTTTGTCCCAGGATAGAGAGGCCTACCCAATATATTAAGAAGAGCACTTATCACAAAAAGAAAAATCAAGGCCTAGAAGTACAAACAGCTGCAGTAATTCCTCTCCTCCAAACTGAAAGTGAAAAGCACACTTGCATTGAGATAATACCAGTAGAACAGAAAAGGTTGCATTACAGAGCAATCTGTAACATAATGCAGCATTCGCATGAGTAAAAGATTATTTCTTTAGAACACAGCAGCATAAGTAAACCTAGCTTTACGTACATCACGCCACCTCCACAGCTTGCTAACGCAAAGCTTCATTCTAATATTGCCCTTGGTGACCTGTAACAGTAACCTTAAGGTGCTAAAAGAGAAGCAGCACAGTCTTGTACTGCCTTAGGTCAAGCTTTAAATACTTATTGTCAATAGCAAGATACAGCACAAGGTCCCAGTTGAAACATGCAGCTGCATTTACAGCTTAGTACCCAACTCAGCTCTTTTTGTACACCTTGACAAGCTCAGCTGCAAAAGGCACACTGGGTGGGCTGCAAGAGCTGCAGAGCGACTCACTGACAGTGACCAACACCCAACCAAAGCTCATTTCCTTCACAAGACCTCCTCCCTAATGAAGACTGCTGATAATACAAAGGTAACGAGCACATCGTACACATTTCTATCCAGAAGTCAATAATCAGATGTAGTATAACTCTGCAAAACATGACCGCCGTGCGACAAAACCCAGGATGAGAAGAACAAGTCAGCTGGCTGCATGCTTCCCAAACACTGCACTGCCATCACAACTAAATGGGAACTGAGAATCCAGACATTATTGTAACAGAAAAGTAATCAAAGCCCCAGTGAGCTTCTGGATCTCACCAGTTTCTCTGAAAACAAAGTGGTGGAAGTGAGTAATACAAGTCCGTATGTAAAACGTGTCTATGTAATTAAAGTATGCAATGCATGTTTCCTAAAGCACTATAAACTCGCTGAGGTGCAACTCCTGCCTACTGTAGGCAAATCAGGAATAAACCACCACAGAAAAATTAGTTATGCACCACCATATTATAATTGCTATTTCTCAAAAAGCCTCTTGCAAGTGATCAAAGTTTATTAGCTCAATGCCTAAGGAAGTTTCTTTATACAATTCCTGCTTACCTGTCCTGCTATAAACTTTGACCATAGATCAGTTTAACAGACTACAAGTGTATCACACAGCCTTACATATAAATAAGGATAAAGTGTTTCAGAGGAGAGCACTCCCATTTTTCAGGAGCAGGCAGAATGTTATCTATGCCAGCCTCATGAAAGACACTTAAGTTACAGAGGGCTTTTCCCTCCTAATGTCATGTCACATTTAACTGCTATACGCCATTTTCTGTATTATTCTGCTAAAACTAATCACTGAATGAAATAGCTGCAGATGCTGCCACGGACAAATGACACAACTGACCTTGTATAGCATACAAAAACTAAAAGAACTTTTTTAATAGCAGCTGACTGGCTGATTTTAAGCAGAAGGGACCCAATTCCTGCAAAGTTGTGCATGGAGACGAAAAAAAGAATCAGCAGTTTTCTTCACACACAGATTAACCCTTACTTTCTTTTGAGAAGAAATGCATTTCCTTCTTAGCCTCAAAGCAGCAACAAGGACATGAATAATGCATATAGTAGAACTTATATTAAGATTCCACTTCAGCATAACATAACTCAAAGAGAAGTGAGCTTCCAAAGAAGGGTGTGCAGGGAAGGAAACAGTGACAGCACAGTGTTAACTGATGTGAAATACTGTCTCTTTCCAACTGATGTTCTAAATGAGGTTATTGACTTTTGCACAGTTAAAATACAGAGCTCTTACTTTATGGAAAAAGTAAATCAGACCATGCAGTGAAAGCTTGGAGCTGTACAACAATAATTAAAGGACATCATATCCACTGGAACTTCACTTGAGAGTCTGAAGGAATTCCAGATCTCTGACTTACAAATTAAGCTGTTTTCCAGCCATTAAGAAGACGAATTTGTACGGTTCAACTGCAGCCTCCTTTAAAATGCCCTCCATAGCATACACGGACTTACAAAGTTCAAAATAAAATCTTCAGATTAAAAAAAAAAAAAAAAAAGTCTAAGGATCCCGTGTTCCTGTTAGTGCTTCATGCCTGCAGCTACCTCGAGAGGTCAGGAAGCAAAGTTGTCACAGGATGAAGGTCTCTTCTGTAGAGAAAAATCAGACAAGCAAAGCACATGTGATAACAAGGGAACTTCAGAAGCCCATTTCACTTTTAAGAAGGAAAACAGACATACCTTCATCCATTTTCTATGAAATGCCCTTTCATTCCGTATCTATAAACCAAAAAGTAAACAGAATACAGAATAGAATATTTATTGATATACAAAGTAGTAGCGCATGCACATAAATAAATATTTCACCATTGTTACTGAACTTTTTCATCAGCCCTCCCAGGAAATAATGAAAATTCAAGGCAGGTGCTTATTTCTCTCATCCTTCGGCCCACAGCTTGCAGCCTTACTGAAAAGAACACCCATGCTGTGAGAGCTCTCTACAACGCTTGGCCTCGTCACACATTATATGCTATTAACGTCGTCTCTACAGCTTGCAGACAATGCTTTTCTCCACGATTTCACTTCAAGACGTGGTCATACAGAATGTCAGTAACAACATGAAAACAGGACGTTACTTAAATACTTCACATGCAGAACTTATATTCTACTGTAAAAGCACAGCAAGGCAAAAACTTGTGTTGGACACACACCTCCTACCCCACTCCCTCCAAGGTCCATTTCTCAAGCATCAACATGTTACCAGAGTCCAAGAGTGACACTGACTGAAACAGTCAGCAACAGGAAGGAAAACACTCCAGAAGAGATGGACACTGCATGTACCTTCCCACAGTGCAATGCAAAGGGCAGACTTTCTCAGTGGAATGGGAACCACAGCTTGAGAAGCTTTACTGCAGACAGTGAAAATTCAGAAATGCAGCCTTAACGATATTTACCATTGCGATCAGGTCTAAACATTAACATCATTTGACATGAGAAGATTATTGGGAAGCCACTGCCTAGGATGTTATGCTACTGCAGAAAAGCAAAACAGTCTGAGAGAAGCATCAATGCAAGCATACCAAGTCCTAGAGCTTCCCTACTTTGTCTGGTGCCACATAAAAACATTGGTCCGTTAAAGTAATTAAGGGTCAGATGTGTTTGTTAGAACAAAGAGCATATAAAACCCAAGGCTTGGATTTACCAATCTGTTCAATTTTGAGGTTCCTCTCTTTAGCTTCTCTCATCAGCCACCGCTCACAGCCTCAGAAGTAGCTCTCATCATTTCCATAGCACATCTCAGAGAACTCAGTGCCTTCTAGGAAGGAGACAGACATTATAAAGACATTATAAAATTCTCTGCATTGCTCACTGCCACACTATGCAGGCAGGCACACTGCTCCAGCATGGCTCACACATCCTTTCCTCTGTACTTCAAAACAAGTAGTGAAGGGAAGAAACAAAGCTGCCACTCTTCATTCTTATCATGTTAACTCAGCATAAACGTCTGGGTATGTTTCCCTTTTTTGGGGGGAGGAAGCACTCTGTTTCTTGCTTTTTTAAAAAGAGACTATGCTTTCTTTTTTTGCAGCAGAATGTGATTAGCTATTGGGCATTTTCTATTCCTAGATACAATAATGCTAAAACCTGTATTTATGATTACCTTTGTCTCAGCAACCACTGAGAAATTCACAGGGTTAGGATCATAAGAAAAATAATCACCGTTGAAAGTACAATTAGCAGATAATGGCCACATGGTGACGTATAGGGGAAAGAGAGTAAGGGGAAAAAAAGAGCAGCACGAATTGAAATCCAGTCCCTTCTCAGACTTTGCTCACAGCAATCACAGACGCATTTCTACAGTGCGGGGGCGAGAGGAGGAGGAAGGTGAAAGGGAGGAGAGCACCGTCTTCGGAATGCGAGTGTAAATTTCCTTCACGAGTCTGCGGACACCAAAAGTGATATCTTTCGTGCAGCCTCAGCACAGCCACAGAGCACACACGGCACATCTCAGCGAAGAGAGCACGGAGGACACGTTGCTGCAGCATCACCGGCAAGAGAACCCCGCACAGCCCCCAGCCGCTGGCTGCCCATCAGCTCTAACCTCCCCCTGGAGGACGCGTAACGGGGCACGGAATTCGGCCAGGGAAAGGAGAGGGAAATCAGGCTGAGGACAAGAACTGCGAAACAGAACGTCGTTCGGAGGACGATCGCTCTCCCCTCCCACCAACCACAACTCTCCCTCCCCGCCTGCGTCTCACCGGACCCACTCACCCCGCTGCCGCCGATCCCGGCCCTCCGGCGCCGTCCCGTACATAAGCGGCACCGACCCTGAGAGGCCCTGGACCCAATAGGAGCCGACCGCACGACGCGACCAGGACGAGCGGACAAACCCAGCACCTCACCGCCCTCACGACCCACCGCCCGCCACGTGACCGCGACCCGGCCGTCACTCGGGCAAGGCGGCCGCGGGGTGAAGCTGGCGGCCATTTTCAGAAAGGGCACGGCAAGTTCAGAGCGGCAGAGAGGTGCGCTGTAGGGGGGCGCTGAAGAGCGGGTGAAGCAGTCGAGGAGCCATGTTGAGTGTGGGAACGCTGCTGGGCGGAGGCCGCGTGTTTGCACCGCGGCTGGACGGAGCTTCTAACATTCTAAACTCTTCTAATTCGGTAATTGGTAAATGCTTCATTTCACGTATATGGCGCACGTGCAGGTAGGTCGTGAGTCCTTGAAATTAAGAGATCCAATATTTATGTTAAAAAACAAAATGCAGTGAAGGCAAAGCGATGGCAAATGTATTTCTCAGAACTTGGGGAACGTCGTGGTTCTGACAGACACTGTTTCAGCTTGGTCGGTGGCTTTTGTCTGTAGGACAAACAAGGCGAGTACACAAGCACTGTTAAATGACATACCTCGATTCCGGGCACGTGTTGCGATACCGTTGGACAAAGGGTGCTCGGTACTGTGAGTGCTGCGGCAGCTCGGTCACACCGTGGCATTAGCTGGGAATTGCACACAGCCTGTTGAGCACAAGTGGGCACGTGGAAATTGCCTGATGAACAGCACATGGTTGAAATTCAGCTAGAGAACTTACACTGATACCAGGCAAAGAGGATGAGGGTAAAATCAAGATGTAAAGAATATTTGAGTCCTTTTGGAGTTCTGTATAGCAGACCTGACCAATTTCAGTTTAAAGGGGAAGCTCTGAGTCAATGAGGTGAAATTATTTACGCCCTACTGGGATGTGATGCTGGAGACGTTGCAGCCTGTGGCCTCACTGGGTTTTTCTCTTTGGGTTATTTTCCACATAGAGGACAGGTTTACACACACAACTAGAGGATGCTCTCCTGCTGTGTCATGAGGATCAGAGCCAACCCCATTGCTGTGTGAACTCTTCAAACCACAGAGGTAAGGTTCCTCAGCACAGCTGGATCCATTCCTAGTCTCAGACGCGTTCAGGAGTTTGTGTCTAAGGAATCCTATGTGCACAGTCAAAGATATAACCTTAGTGAAACTGACAATTCTCAAACCAAGTTACTGAGGATCCATACCAGCAAGGTGTCTTGACATCAAGGTAGAAAGGATCTCTGTGCAGGTGTGACATTTTTGGCAATATCCAAGTAATTTTTGTCAGGACGGTATCTCTGATAAAAGCAGAATTTATTCGCGATTGCAATGGCGGGCATCCCGCAAGTAGGAGCACGTCTATGGACACAACATGACAGCCTTTATACCCTGTTTTCTCCCTCTTGCCTCCCCCCCTCCCCTGTTTCCCCACTGGCTGGGTACTCCAGGTTCACAATCTTATCAGAAGGTTTACATTTGCTATTTACTTGTTAATTTATTTGTTATCTGGTGCCAGTCAGTAGTCATCCTGTTGTTTGGTGCTCTCCTTGTCATATTGATATGGTGATTTTCTTTAAGGTCTTCGTTAAACAAAGAGCACTTGGGGGATGACGTCAGGCCTTCCCATGTCTCTTCAGGTGCTTCCTCGGGCAGGCTATGACTTGTTCTCTGGTTTGCTCCCCTGCAGGATATCCCTGCAGTGTATATGACAAAATATACATATATACACCTATATACAGAGTGTGCATTCCTGGGAAGGTTCGTCTAGAGAATAAGTGATGTAAACTTATCAGTGATCTTCCCCAAGTTAAATAGAAAGACTCCCAAAAAGAACTATGATAGCAGAGATCATAAAATAAAAATAATATTATACAATTCTAATGCAGAAACAACATTTGATTCCCACAATTACCCCCTTTTTCTTTTTTTATACATTGTTGATTTCTGCAATTTTTTTTTTAAGGTTCACTTTTATAGACGTCTCCCTTGTCTTCACTTTCTTTATCTCCCATCTCCTCTAATAATCATTTTATCCAAATGTAATAGCTCCATTGGTGTTTGCTTCAATAGTGCTGTCTTGATCAATAACTCCACTAGTCCCTTCACAAACACAGCAACCAATGGCCATCAGGGCTCCTGCTTCTACTATCAAAGAAGTAAATGTGGATACAGTCACCCCTTTCCATTCACCAAACCAGAACTCCAACCATCCAGTGATAGAAGTATCTATTCCTGATTTTTCTGCCACTTCATTGACAAGGGTGGTACCAAGCCCTTGCAATGCCTTTGTTATTATGTCATCCAGAGCTGTGTTATTGGGATGAAGGTGCAACAACGGGTACCCAGTGTTATATATACACTCTTGTATCATATCTTAGGAGATGCTATTTTCTCAGGCCATCCTACTTGTGGCATTTAACTGTCCTGCAATTCTCCTCATTGCACTCTTTGTATAATTTGCAAATCTCCATTGATTATAACGGATGTAGTTAATCCAATCTACATTCTTCTTGATCATCACCCACCAGGACAGTGACTCAAACCCTGCAACAGTTTGATTTCTCACCTTAAAATCATCAGGGACAACAAGAAGTGAAAAGTTTAAATCCTTAGCTTGCCCACATACCAAACAATACTGATATGCAATGATGTTTGTCACAAGAGATACGTAAGTATTTACATCAAATGCTGCACTCATCAAATCAACATTTCTAACAATTACAAAAGCCCACGTTCTTGTCTTTGGATTCACAATTTTAAGGGCCCAGCTGACTTCAGTTCTCATTGTGTTCAAGGGACCTTCTTAACTCTAGTATTATGTATCCACAATGCTTTTACTGTTGTGCGGGATGTTAGCAGCACCTGGAACAGACCTACCCACCTTGGTTCCAGGGGCGAATCTTAAAGAGATTTGTTACATACATATTATCGAGCCATATCAAGGCCTTGGGCTCTAATTCCTAGAACCAGTTTCTCTTTTTCTCAAAGCCATTCCTGTAGACTTATCACATGCTCAGTTAATATTTTGCTCCCTACTTGGGTAGAGATCCCCATTTGTACAACATAAGGCCTTCTGTACAGTATTTTGAAAGGATTTAACCCCTCTTTGGCTCTAGATTTCGTTCTGGTACTAAGGAGAGCCAAATGCAACAACTGTGGTCAGGATAGTCCAGCTTCCTGGCCCAGTTTTACAACCTGTGATTTAATTAGATAGTTCATCTTTTCCTCGTGACCACTCGCCTGTGGTCTGTGTGGTATGTGCAATTGCCAGTTTATTCCCAATGCTTGCTGACCTGTTGGACAATCTCTGCAATAAAATGAATTCCCTGGTTGAAGGGTATTGTTGGAGGACACCCAAACCTTGGAATAATCTCCTGCAAAAGTACCTTGCTTAGTTCCTTGGCTCTATTGGTCCTGCAAGGGAATGCTTCTGGTCATCCTGAGAGGTTATTGGTTAGAACTAATGGTATTGGTATCGAAACCCTCCTTTTTCCTGGCAGTTCAAAAGAAAATCAATTTGCGATTGTTGGCCCTGGAAGGTTCCCTTTCCAACAAGCCCCACTTGTATCCTGTTCCTGGTACTAGGATTGTACAGTTACTTTCTGATGTCTGTATCCCCCATCTTTTATTATGTTCCCTTAGAACCAAATTCTATAAAATACTAACGGGCACAACAATGTGTCCATCTGGGTATGCACCCATCTGTCAGCTTGCTCTCTTCCCTTCATTAATTAGATTCCTATTCTTTCTAGAGTACCTTATAGGTTCTGACTAAGGTTCAGGTATTTCAAGTTTACCATCTGGACTTAAAGCCAGTTCTCCAATTCCTTTTCCTTCAGCTGCCTGTTTTGCCACCTGATCCATCATCATATTTCCAGTTTCCTGTACGGTGTCACTCTTCTGATGTCCTTTACAGTGTATAACAGCCATGATGTTCTTTGGTAGATTTACATCATGCTGAATTTGTTTTCCTTGTGTGTAAGCAATCCTCGCTCTTTCCAGATGGTACCATGAGTGGGTACCTCCCCAAAAGCATATTTAGCATCCATCCATATATTTAAGGTTCTTGTCAAGACAGTTATTTCAGCCTTCTGAGTGGAAGTCCCCACAGGTAATGGTTTTGCTTCAATTACCTTGTCAGTAGCAGTTACTGCATATCCCACCTTACAGTTTCCTTGTCTTCACAAAACTGCTTCCGTCGATGAATCCAAGACTCCTCAGCATCGTCCAATAGTTCCTCCTGTAGGTCTGACCAACTTGCACAGACAGTCTCCATGCAGTCGCACACTGCTGGCTTGGAGGCAGCTCTGCATTGGTGTTCTGGGTGTTCAGCAAATCGCTTCCTTCTCTTTGATCAGTTGTGCTTTCTGTTGAGAAACTTGATAGCCATTTAAATCAAGAAATTCAGCAAGTTCACAGTCCATTGTTGTGAGAATCCTTCTTTGTTTTTTGGCTCAAAGCTTGCTTCCTGAGGTATTTTGTTGAAGAGGCAAGTGATGGGTGTTGTGTGGCAATCAACATCGCTGTGTGGACAGTTTTACATCTTTGGAGCTGTTTGCCTTCGGAAGATAGTGCTCAGGACTGTTTACTGGCAGAAGACCTAGCCTGTGACCAAATAACTCCTGTTTGCTATGGGAGGCTGGGGGATGATACCATTGTATCCTGCGAAGGCAAGATACAAGTTGGTGCCTCCCTGCTTCCTCTTATCTGCTGGCAAGGCCAGAAAGATAAGAACAAAGGAGGTTCCTGCTGAGATCCCAGAGCCAGAAGCTGCCACTCAAAGGAGAGCTGACTCAACCACTTTTGGATTTGAGCTGTCACTGCAAAGACAGCTGACTCAACCACTTTGAAACCATTGAAAAGGGGCCATCATCGCCATGGTCGTTGTCGTCATCAATAGAACAACTCTGCCTGATGACCCACCGCTACTGAAGATCAAAGACTGAACTACGAACCTCGCTGGATCCATGGTGGTGACTGTCTCCCTCTTGCTGCCTATAAAGACCCCTTGCTTCTTCTTTCCTATTTTTTCTATCGCCCTCCTTCCCTTCCCCCATTACCCTAATTCATAATAGTGTCCATTCTCCCCTTCCCCATTTCCCCTGATTAAGATTTGTAATAAACTGGTCGGACCAACATTTGAACCGTTGCTTCTTAATC